GGGAACCTGCTGTGCCGTGATAATATGTACATTCCCTGAGGCTCTTCTTTCAGCCTCTTCCCAGGATTAGCCATGTAAAATCTATACACTGCCTGATTACAGTGGTGATTGTGGTCCAAACTTACTTCCCAGCTTTCTTCCCAACTTTACCCATGGTCTATATAGTCTGTGGAAATTGATTAGCTGAACTTCTTGAGTGCCTTGGGCTGAATGGCAGCCTCGGGTTCTGTTGCAACATGGAGTGCTGACAAAAATAGGCTGAATGTTACCTGCACTGGAGCTGTCCTGGCAGAGTATTAAAGAAGTGTTAAGATGTATGTTGCTGTTCGTATCTCTATATATTTGTATTTATGCAAGCAAAAAGTGAGATGAAGATGTGTTCACCAGTGTTTATATCTCCCCTTTTAAATGTAGCTCAGCAAGTCAGCCTGTCTTTCTCATTGTTTGTCAGAAATTCTACTTTGCAGATGAATTTCTTGAGTTCAAAACTGTCATTTTTCTCTCACAAAGGTTTAGGATGCAATAAATTGATTTTTTATTTTTTATTTTAATGAGAAAACTTTCTAGCTGGAAATGCCTTTTTCAGTTCCATTAGAGGTCTCTTTCTGATGTCTCCTTTTACCATAGTAATCTCAGTTGCTTTGTGCTTGTGCTTCTCACATGAGTTTGAGTAGAAGATGCTCTTCATAGGGAGAAGATGCAGATAAACACAGTAATTCTTGGACATATTTGTCTCTGCTGCATCCTCAGCCTTCATTTTTCTGATCATCTACCATTAATAGCTCCTTGCTTAAAATATCTATGGTCTCTCTCAAACTGATGCTAGCTTCTGAAAAAAAAATAAAGGTCTTCTGCAAGTCTAATTTTGACTTGCTAAAAATTTAGCAAAGTTTTAGCAAAACTTTTACCAAGCCATAGTGAATATTCTATAAGTAACAAGTGGAGAAGCAATGTGGTAGCAATACTAGCTCAGTGAATTGCTCATGTTGACCTGGGCCAAACTTAGACACTTGTGGGATTTAGAAACATGTGTGTTCAGCAACAAAAGATTCTGTTGGAGACCTGGCCTATGAGCTTGATTCACAAAGAGCAAACAACCTGAGCAGAAGGACAAAGAAACCCTGCTGCAGTTAAGGCTTGAAAATCATTTTTTATTTTTATTTCTTTTGCATTCTTACCATCTTTTGTCCTGTTTGTTTCTGCTGATGGAAGGAGCTGTGGGGCTGGCTCTTTGACTAATGGTTGAATCAGTAATTTTTGCCATTAAATTAACATAGATATTAAAGGAGACAGGGAGAAGATTGGTCTCTTGGGGAAGGAAACAGTAGGGTAGCAATGCATGGTCATTCCTTTTTGTTGTTGGGATGAGAGGAGAAGATTGGTCTCTTGGGGAAGGAAGCAGTATGGTAGCAATGCATGGTCATTCCTTTCTGTTGTTGGGATGAGGTAAGATAGACAGCTGCCATAGGCCCTGGATGCATAGTGAGAGCCACTTGTGTCCTCCTAAATTGGCTGCCCACGTCTCAGGCTGCTGTCTTAAAGCATTTAGCAGAGCAGTCAGCACTTTTGTACAGCATTCATGTAAGGAACCCTTCAAACCCAAAGAAAGGCTCGTGTGTCCAAAACTTTCCTTGATTTTTTCTTTTTTCCTCCCCTGAACAAAACCAGTTGATCTTAAGAAAGATATGGGCTCATTTCATAAGCCTTGTCTTGCTCATAAAAACAAGACAAGAGGAGTCTCCATGCTCCAAAGACAGCTTAAAAGAAGATTAATTAATTAATTAAGAATCTTTTCTTCTGAGTGCAACAGGCTCCAAGTAACAAGTGAACTTTTCATTTCCAGTAATAGCAGAAATTACTTCAATAGCATGATTGTGAGCACCCGTGGGGCCATAATGTGAATGGTCTTTATTAAGGAATAGACTGAACTTCTGACTATCTTTCTTCCAGTCATTTCCACAGGCTATAAACAGCGCCTGGTTTGTTGCTATTAAAAGAGTCTACAGACGACGATGCTGAAAAGCATTACTGTTTAAGTACTCAAGGCTTGACATTAACATGAAAAATATTTTCATGAGCATAACGTGGATTTGGGTTCTCCAGGACATTATAGTTTTGTCCAGAAATGGTTTTCTTGAATATTTGTGATATGAGAGAGTTTTTATTTGGTTTTGTATTTTTCATTTTAATTACTGGTCACTACCCCTGTGTTTCACTTGATTTTTCAGACATGTGTGAAGTCAGAAAACATCTCGGGGCCAGTTTTTATGTTCTCTTGGTGTTATGTTCTGCCCGTGTTAGTACCTGATGAAAGAGCCTGGTCTTAGTTAACGATCAGGCCTCATTATATGTTTGTTCCCATAAATGACTGCTCCAAGGAGCAACCTTTCCTGAATAACCTTGTATTTTGCACGATGATGCTAAGTGAAAGCTAAGGCAATCCATGATCTGCTGAGGTGATATTGAAGACATATCTCTCATGCACAGCAAACCTATGCATTAATCCTGTGTTTTGGGGTCTTTAATTGGTTTAAATATTTGCTTCTAGATCTGTGCTTCACACATCTTATTTACATGGTTTATTTTTCATTTTATGAACAAATCGATAACCAGACAGACTCTTTACCACACTGGATTAGTTTTATTTATTCTCTTTGAACTTGATTAAAAAGCTGTCAAACATAAGTCTACATTTTATCAGCAGAATACTTTTACAAAACAGGGTAGGAGATGTGTATAGCTGGAAACATACATTTCAAAATGAAACAATATTTGATATATTCTAGACAGTTACCCTTTTGTTTATCCATAACAACTGAAACTAACCATCAAATGCATAAATTGATTCAAGTCTAGCCAAGTAATCCTAAGGGCATATGAAAAGGCTTTTTTTTAAAGTTCTTTCTAGATGAATTTAATGTAGTTCACCAATAAAGCATCCTCAGGAGCACAATACAAATGCTACAGAACATGAGATAGCTGGGGAAAGCAGGCAGATGTACAGTGTGATGAAGAATCAAAATGGATGTTACATTAAAATGAGCAGTCATGCAATATCTTCATTTCATGTACTGCATTTAAGTAAAAATGCCAAAGTTCCAATTCCATTTTTAATTTCTTTTAGGCACTGTTATGCAAATAGTGACATTCTCATTTGGTTTGTGTTTGTTTATTTTCTTTGTTTGAAAGTATTAAATTTTTTTTCAGCTCTTGGGGTAGACAAATTGATTATTCATCATGTCTTTAATTTTCAATATATATCAACGAGAAAGGTAAATTATACTCAGATTAGCTATGAATGATCTGGTGTCACTGCTTTAATTCATTGCTTTTAACATACATATTTCAATCCGTTTACCACACACCTCCTCAATTATTATTTGTCTTTCTGTGCCATTGCATATGTTGGTAAACAGCATTTTCTATGGTCTTGGGCCATATGCTGTATGCTCAGCTTGCAGAAAAAGTGACACTTGGAGTGCTAGCATAATGAAACTCTCAAAGGGTTAATGCAGAATACATATAGGCAAATGTTGACAATATTTTTTATTCCAATGTTTGAAAATTAGACACAAAAATCATCATTAAGTTTGCACAAAATGAGGCATCTGTCACTTGAAAGAAAAAGAAATATTTCAGAAATATGTTTACAGAAATGTAAAAATATTAGACATCAAGACAGATGTGAACGTTTTCAATAACAGGCCCTGTCTGTCAGTCTTCCTCTGAGCCGAAGATCTTGCTGTACTCACTCAACATAAGTTCAACTATCTGATTTTGGTACAGCATGTGGACTGCCATGTTCCCTGTCTCCTTTTCAGGTCTAAGGAGTGTTGGTCCAAACACAATTCCTAAGCTTTGTGTTGACATAAGATTCACGGATTCCTTGGCTGCTATCCTGTTGACGAAAGGAAAGAATTGGTTACAAAAGAGGGATGTCAAAGGAGCCACTGTTGCTCTTCAAGTACATAGAGGCACTTTTTAACTGATTCTCCTAACAGGGATGTTTGTTTGGTTAAGTTATCAAAAAGAGAAAACAGGGAAGCAGAAGACAACTTCTGCCAATGTGATAAACAAAGAAATGGGAGCTTTTGTGGCTCCAGGGAGAAGCTTCCCTGCTACCCTTAACATTGTCTTCACCACTGAAAGAGTTTATAAAAAAAAAAAAAAAAAAAAGCCCCTTAATAGAAAGCTCATATGAAACACATTCCTTCTGCTAATTTAAATCCAATAAAGTGAGTATGGTCTGAAATGGATTGTGAAATTTATGTAACTAAAGACTTTTGCATGTCTTATCCTGACACAAAGTTTCTTGAAAGACAGAGAGACCACATACCTTAATGAGATGACTTAGAAAATAATGGTGAGGATTATAACCTTTGATATCTTTATTACCCACAAAATTACAAGAGGAGGACTATTATTATTAAAAGTTGATCTTGTGTCTGTATTAAGACTTAATATTCCTGTGGAAATGGCATTAAGGATGGAGAAGTCTGGTCTCAGAACAATATGGGTTTAATGGATGGAGTTTAGGTAGGCAGTTTCACATAAATCTCTGCAGTGGTGAGTACAAACTAAGTAGAAATCCATTTCTCTCAACCCTCCAGAATGCATAATGTATCCTAGGTTGGAAAGACTAGTAAATGAAGACACAGATTTTAGAAATAAATTGCACAGCTCTACCAAGGAATGCAAACTAAATGTAACTTTAATATGTAAATGTTTGAATTTATGGATGCTTCCTTAACCTGTTAGTTTTAACTTAAATATTCCAAGTGAATTGTTGAAGCCAAGTTCTGCTTTTCCCTCCCTTCTCATCACAAATTTTAAAAATCCAGACCGCAATTTAAAAACCATCGCAGATGTCTCTGTTTTCCCATACCTGTTGCTGAATTTACAGCAAGCTACAATTTAAGAGAAAGAAACTTCATGAGACATCATGGCTTCAGGCACTTTAAACAGGGTTTCTTTCATGTTAGTGGGTGGGTCACACAGTGAAGAGCATCGTCTTGTGGATTTGTGCCAATCTTCTCGTTTACCACATTCCTTGAGCATCAACACTCATGTTTTTTTCCCATATATATAAATAGGAAGCATTGCTTAGTTCTGCCTCATGCTAGTAACCGTGGTGTCCATTGCACAAAACACTCTCCATATGGCACTAATCAGATTGGCTTAACTATTAGTTTCTTAAAATATAGCATCTTCATTAAATTTTTTAAAAATTAATTATCTTTCCTCTCTGGTAATATTAATATATCATCTCTTCTCTTAGGAGTTCAGAAAGTCTCGAAAGTTAGTAGTTTTGTTGCCAAATGACTGTGTGGGCTTCTGATGGATGTCACACATCTTTATCACAATTAAAAATGTTACAGAGGTGACAAGGTTATTTTGCTTAATGCCACTTATGCAGAAGCTTGTACATCAAGCTTGGGGCCTCTCTGTAAGAAAGACTTGAATTCTGTTGAGCTTGTTACATGGTAAAAGTTGGAAACCTTATAAAGTATTTGCAGATGACATCAGTGTGAGTAGGGATGTGTGTTCACTGAGGGGAAAAAAACTCAGCAGTTTTATCTAGCGTAACTTTAGAGATCATCAATTTAGCATCAGCCATGGCTTTGCAATGATGGGGTGTTGACAATGGACAGCACTGATGGAGCTGGAGGAGAAGCACTATGCAGGGAGAAGGAGGCAGTGGACCACAGATGAGCAGTTAGGGTGAAGAAAGGTGGTGGCAGAGCTGTTTACAGAAGGGACAGGAGGGGATTGACTTCCTTTGTAAAATCTGGAGGAAGATGTTGAGATCCTGTGTTCCCAACGTGGACACAGAAAATAATGGATGGCCAACCCCTGTGTAATTATTTGCCATCTTGCTGAAGGAGAATAATTTTCCTTGCTTTTTCTGGAGCTGCCATCCTGCACACAAAGTCCTGTTTGAGTTCAGGCATTGCTAGCACAGGGTCTGGATTTTCTCAGTTGTCAATAGGTGAGGGTATGGCATGAAGAAATGGGGAGTGTGCATTGGTGTTGGAGAAGAACTGGCTATCTGTTGTGGTTCATCAATATGTCACATGGCACTAAGAACATTTGCATAAAATTTGGGTCGTTAAGTTAACACTAGAATAAGAATTGTATTGAGAAAATCTCTTGAAAATTCTTAATATCTTCTATCTATCCATGCAGTCATACTTGTTTTAATGACCATAAAAGCAGAAACTATAAACCAAGCAAACTTGGAAACATGGAAAATCTGAGTAGTTAAATAATATGTGGCAAAATACAGCTACTGGAGGGGAAGAAGGAAGGAATTCAATCCAGCCTGCATAAAATAATTATAAGTTTGCGACCTTATGTCTTTCTGAATTACAAATATTTACCAATGAAATTCTATAGCTAATATTTTTTTCATCTGTCCACAAAAGAAGTCAAAGCAAATCAAAATCAAATATGCACACTCAAAGCTATTACTATAGCTGCTATGTGAAATTGAGTTGTTAAAATAAAAAATCCTAAAAAATAGGCAAGAATTCTTTTTTTTTTGGCAAGGAAAAGAGCAGTAAGAGTGATACACCATTTGCAACATAAAAAGTGAAAGGAAATGCCAGAGGTCCTTTTTCTCAAGCCCAAATGAAAGAAGCAATGATCCATCAATTTAGGATTAGAATCATAGAATCATCAACCAGCTCAGCTTGGAAGAGACCTCATAGATCATCAAGTGGTTACTAGACCATGGCACTAAGTGCCACATCCACTTGAAAACCTCCAGGGATGGTCAATCCACCACCTCCCTGGGAAACAATTATTTTAGAAACGATCTATAATCTGGTGCCATAGATGTTGGAACCATACCAAGAAATTGTTGGGTGATATTCTGCACAAGATTATTGGTTTTTTCCCCAAAATAAGTGAGCTTCAAGAATGGCTTGAGTTCTTTCAGATCACAAGTCAGGCGATTTGTAGAAAATACAATTCTCTTTATTAATAGCAATGGAAATAATGATGTCTTAAACCAGCAGAAGTGTCTGATAGGAGGGTTCTAGTGTCAATGGCAGATATATAAGGAAAAATACTTGGAATTTATGCTTTGGCTGTTGTCAAGGCAACTGCAAGCTGGAAAACGTGTGATGGAGAGCAGGGCAAGTCTACAGCTAAGAGGGTCATTGTATGGTGAGTTGGCTCTCTACTTCCATTAAACCTACACTTTTCAAACTCTCTAAATAAAATCATTGTTAATTTTGACATTTGGTAAGCACACTGGATTATTACTTCAAACGCACTAGGTGTTAGGAAATGTTTTTCATCCATTTTTACTCCATAGTAACTGCTGGGGAGGGGAAAAGATTTCAAGAGTAATTCTGATTCCTCAACATCTTAATGTTTCTACTGCACATTAAAAAATTGCAAAAGACAGTGTACTTAGGGAGGAAATCCATATTGTAAAGGACACTGTTTAAATGTAGGCTGAAGTGTGTTTGGGGGTAGAGCTGTCCTCTGCCAGCTCCCTAAGTTTTGTTTTCTTACCCTTTTGCAGCCTATGAAGATTTCAGTTTGCTCAATGTCAGTGTTTCTAGCCTTAACAGAACTGGTTTTAGCCATGCCTAATAGTCTTTCACTGTTCTAAATTATATTTAATGGTAACTTTTCAATACAACAATCCTGCTACTCTTCCATGAACTGGTAATACAGAGTATGACTAAAGAACAACACACTACAAAATGAGGGGATTTGAAGAGTAATAATGGGTCACTTGGTATAATATTATGGGTCAAAATGGCCGGTGTAGGAAGTGCCATGCTCTGAATTTAGCAGAGGATCGAGGGATAAAATTGGGTTTTGGTCTTATCAGAATCCTGACCACAGCTTTACGCACAATATTTGAGTTGACTGGGGAAGCACTGCCATGAAAAACAGGAACCAAGATCTAAACAGAGGCCTAGAAAGTTTCAGATAGATGGGAATAAAGAAAACTCCCCATAAAGGAGAAAAAATGATGTTATTTGTGGCATCTGTCTTCTTGGTATAGCAACTAACCTAATAGAATTAGAGCCAAATCTCTCTGAGTAGTCCATGACAGCCCATTTGGGCAGGTTTTGTACCTTTGCTGAACTGTGTTAGCGGTCACTATCATGACCAGAGCTGCTCATTACAGTGGACAACAGGACTGATTTGATATGTAAGTTCCTATGAACTGCCTTAATAGGTCAAAGTCTGTGCATCCCATTGATTCATTTTGTCAATATTTATACTCAAATTACCCAATATCTGTTTCCTATCTATACTCAGGCATATGCAAATGTAATGTTTTAGCTTAAGGACTTGGCCCTGGGAAGGGCTCAGCTGCCTTAGGCTCTTCACAACAATAATTCTGCTAACAGGCCTCCTCACTGCACTGTTACAGGCCAGTTTTTATGCAGCAGCTTTCTGACTTTTGGTACTGCAGAATTCCCAATCAATTTGAACGTGTTAAAATTTCTCTCTTATGATGAACAGCTTCCAGCTCAACATTTTTTGCTCCTTTCCTTCCCAAATGCCAGTTCACAGGAGTTAAAAAATAACAGGTATTACATACTTCGCTTTAGTGACAAGACATTTGGGAAGGAATCATCCAACCTTGAAATAAAATCTTTATTGAAAGCAATTCTACATCCATGCCAGTCAGATACATTGTATGATCAGAGGAGGTGTCCCAGGGGAAAGCTCAGCGCTGTAGACAGGGTTGATTACTTGGACCTCCTGTCAGTTCTTAACTCATTGACAATGGCTGAGGCGTTCAGTACAACTTTGTTTTCTTTATTTGGAAGTAAAGTTAATATACTTACCTTAACTGTGCCAAATGTACTGGAAAATAACCTGATAATAAAACGTACTGTCCTAGGAAGTGATAATGCCTGTGTG